GGGCTTTCTGGGGCCGCGGGTGCCGGCCGAGGTGGAGGCCATGGCCCGGGGCGTGCAGGACATGGGCAAGGAGACCTTCCGGCGGCTCCTCAAAGGTAGGGCCCGGGGGGGGCCTGGCCTGCCCCGCCCCAGTGCTCCCCGCGCCCTCGGCGCGGTGTGGGCGCGGGAGGAGCCCTCGCTGTCCCGTCGCAGGGGGACGGGAGGGACTTCCCTGCCAGAGCCGATAGGCGGCCGCCGCCTTCCTCGGGGGAGCCGGGGGTCCTCCCGGGAAGGTAGGGACGGCTGGAGAGTCTGCTCCCCCCTGCCGGGCCTGGGCAGGGCTGCAGCTCTCCTGGGACGCTTCCCATTGCTTTTCCCTGCAGGAAGCTAAAGCTGAGGGTTAAACATAATGACGGGTCTTCTTGCTTGTAGCCTAAAATTCCGTGAAATACGTGAGAATGAGGTACGTACACTTGCAGCTGTGAATGGCCCCCAAACTCACAGGGAGCGCTGTTAAAATCGTTCCTTTTATCCCTGGAGCCAGTGGTCGAGTCACTGGCAGATTGTGGTGGGCATGTAAAAGTCAGAGACCCCATGGCTGTTTTCATAACGGCCAGGAGAAAAAGCAACCCTCAAAGTGCAGACGTCTTACTGAAATTGGGGCTGTAAGAACTGAAAATAAGTGTTTGATTTGGTTTTTGGCTGTGAGGCTTCTCCCTGTGGCAAGACAAAACAGGTGAGACTCTCTCAAGGCACCTTTGACTGCCAAAATCAGAGTTCCTTGGTTGAGTAAATTTTTGCATGTAAGATAATAACAGAATAACCGAAAAGTTGATTAACAGAGCAAAAACACAGCTTGCTTGTGGTTAACTGCTGCACAGCACAGCATGGTGCTGCGACCCTTACATGCATGTTCTCTCGGCTAACTTCAGGCTTTTTCTTCTCAGTTTGAGTTAATAAGGACTCAAAGCATCTAGTAGCTGGTTTGTCTTTAAAAGTTTTGGTGCGTAGTGTCAGAAATGCAGCAATGTATTTGGGGTTTCCTCACAAAAGTAATAAAGCTACATATAGGCAGAGGCATTGGGACAAAAGTAAATACAGATCCTGAACCATATTTGCTGCCTAGTGCAGGGACAATGGAGACTGAAAAGTTGTATCAGTGCCAGGAAGCCTGACCGTCTCCTAAACCCCATCTGGGTTTGATTTCGGTGTAAACTACGGCCTTCATCTAAGTGTGCAATAAATGCTTCCCACTGCAGAGGGAGCAAACAGTCCTCCCCAGCCCCCTGGAGCCAGGGCGGTGATGCCCCTGGTGCCCGTGAGCCCCGGAGCAGATGGAGACGGCCTCCAGGTGGGGTAGAGCGGGCACAAATCTTCAGTCGCCTTCAGCTCTTGCTGGTCTGTGATGAACAGCCTGCGGGACAGCGGCTTCTCCTTTGAAGATTTAGTAGTCTTTGAAGGCATGATGGATTTCAACAGAGTATATCTAAATCACGCTGGCACTTGCACCGAGTTAATTTTTTGAGGCTGTGGCAGTTACTCTGTTGCTAAACATTAATATAAAAAATTAAATGTTGCTTTTCATATGCCTGCTCAGTTCATGATATAAAAATTGCATATACCATTATCTCAGGGCTATCCAGCCAGTGTTATCACAAGCTCTGCTAAACTGCAAGTGTAAGTTTGAGACAGCAGGCATCTTCTGCTAGGAGCATATGACCCAGCAGTGAGATTTTCATGGAATGTTTTGGGGTTATTCTTTGTTTTCTTCCTCTGATTGACTGCTAGAAATGCTGGTACAGCTGGTGTTTCTGAGTTCCCTGAGCCATACTGAGTAAAAAAATTTTGTATTCTAGGGTAATGCAAGTAGGTCATAAAAGACGACATGGATTTTTAGCCAGTCATTAGGGTTGGCCGACAGAAAGACCGATATTGTAATTAAAGCTATCTAGTTGAAAGCCATAAGCAACCTGTTCTTTGAAGAAACAGATCAAAGTTGTATTGAAATAGGTAAGTAGACAGGAACCTGTTTCCTGCTCTGTGTATGATCTCATTCATTTTGTTGTTGTAGAGCAGAGTCTATTTCAGACAGCGTGGAAAGCTTGGTACTAGCACCTTGCACACCCTGGCTACAGTGTAAAATCTGCCGTGCAGATAGTGCCAGACAAATTCAGTCAGCCACATGAATGATCCAAGACTTGCCACTGAATTTAATGTGCATTAAAAACAGAAAAGCAAAAAGAATTTATCCAGAAT